GGGGGGGGGGGGGGGGGGGGCAGGGAGGAGAGAAGATTAATATGTTTTTAGTACATTATGGTGAACAAAAGAGGAATTTTTTTCTTCTGCAGTATAAACAATTCAACAAAAACAAATTATGGGTGCACAGCCAGTAGATTTGATTAAAGGCTAGATTATAGCAATTCTGCCATATTCTCTTTATGTAAATGGTATAATATTAACTAGAAAAATGGAGTATTCAAAATAAAATTGGGTCACTGGCAAGTGGCAGATTCCAAAGACTATTGAAAAAACTCACACAAATGCCATCTGTGGGGTATAACACTGAGGTCTATTAATATGATAGTGATTTTCAACAAAGCAAACCAACCGTGAGGTCACTACAGTGACAAATGTGTTACTGCTGAGTGCCATTCATTCAGATGGAATTCCAAAGCAGTTCAAGAACAAATGAAGGGAAATATGTATCCACTACTACAAGCATATCAGAGCTCCTACTCAAGGCACAATGGGAAGCCTACACGCTGGTTTGACTTTCTTCTCTGACCCTTACTATATTGACTTCTCAAAGATAACCTATTTCAGCCCAATAGGGTGAAGATAATGCCACTGGCATCTTAAAAAAAAAAAGTTGAGGCCAGCCTGGGTTTAAAAAAAAAAAAAAAGTCCATGTGACCTCATCTCAAACATAAAAAGCTGGGTATGGTGGCATATGTCTATCATCCCAGCCATGTGGGAGGCTCATACAGGAGGAAAGAAGTCTAGGCTGGCCCAGGAAAAACTTGACATGCTAGATAGGCACCAGTAGCTCATGAGTATAATCCTAGCTACTCAGAAGGATGAGATCTAAGGATTGTGGTTTAAAGCCAGATAGACCTAACAGGAAAGTTCGTGAGTCTTTGATCTCTGATCAACCACCAAAAAGTAGGAAGTAGAACTGTGGGTTGAGCAAGAGAGTACCTGAAAGAGCTGAAAGAGCTAAGCAAAGGAGAAAAGGCTAAAAGCCAGAGAGGGTGGCCCTGACTTCAAGCCCCAGTCCTAGTACACACACACATGCATATGCACAGACTCACAAAATCATAAGACTATTTGAAAAACAATGAAAGCAAATAGGTTTAGGGTGTGCAGTTAACTGGTCGAGTATGTGTCTAGCAACGTATAAGGCCCACTCCACTGCCACCCAAAAATAAGATTCTGGGTCAATAATAATCTTTATGCCTCAATCTCCTTCCCTTTCTAAGAAGACAACAACAAAATATCTAGCTCATAAAGTTGATGGTGTTTTAAAATGAACACATATGAAGAATTACAGTTCTTTATGCCTCATTTTTTTTCTGATTAATTTAAGTGCCCCCAGACACAAGTCAACCCAGGCATGGCTTTGTGGGCAGAGGTCTGATGGTAACTGCCACCGAAGAAGCTATCCTATCTTCACATCCAACTTTATTTATAGCCTTGCCTGAAACACGGACAATGTGAAAAGTATTCCCAAACAACATTAACTAAATAGGTTTTTTTCCCTCCTGGTTATTTTGTAGCCTGCTGACAGCAGTAGGTGCTCATGCTGCAATAGTGTTTGACACTCCAAACAGACTAGGTCTACATAAAATACACAATCTTGGAAACATGCTACATCAGGCTATTTTGGGATTAACTGAATTCTAAATAACACATTACCAACAATGCGATTAAGTCTGGCTTTGTGTTTTGCAATATGGTTGTAACATATAAAATCTAACAAATCTTCTAAAATATATTTGGGGAAGTAAAAAATAGGCAACAATGTAACACTTCATAAAAAATACTGCATAAGAATTATAACACAAAATGACATAAGCATGTTATGTATAAACTATGCCTGGCTGTATCCAGGACTGAGAAGACAATTAGGAAAAGCAAAAAGGGAGAACAGGTCAAAGATATCAATGAGCATTTCAAGCTAAGAAAATACTCTATGCCACGGGTTCTTTATATATAATGATTGTGCTTACATAGACAATATTGCACTTCTACTTTCACAAAAGGCTATACCTGAAATTTAGCATACTCTTCCAATTACGATTATAGGTAAAAGCAGTAATATCAGCCATTCACCCATGATTCTGTTACGAATAGAAATATCATATGTGGATGTTTTTTTTTGTTTTTGTCAGTCATGGGGCTTGAACTCTGGGTTGGGCGCTGTCCCTGCGCTCTTCAGCTCAAGGTGAGCACTCTACTGCTTGAGCCACAGTCCCACTTCCAGTTTTCTAGTGGTTTATTGGAGATAAGAGTCTCAGGGACTTTGCTGCCCAGCTGGGCTGGCTTTGAACCGTGATCCTCAGATCTCAGCCTCCTGAGTAGCTAGGATGACAGGCGTGAGCCACTGGCGCCCGGCTTCATCTGTGTTTTCTATGCCACACTACCTACTTCTATTTCATGCATCAGGAAGGACCAAATATAATAATGAATTTGTTTTTAAATATCTTGGCAGCTTTTTTTTTTGGGGGGGGGGGGTAGGGGAGAGGAGTCAGTCTTAGGTCCTGAACTCTGGGCCTTGGCGCTGTCCCTCAGCTCTTCTGCTCAAGGCTAGTGCTCTACCACTTGAGCCACAGCGCCACTTCCGGCTTTTTTCTGCTTATGTGGTGCTGAGGAATCAAACCCAAGGCCTCATGCATACACGGTAAGCACTTTACCACTGAGTCACCTTCCCAGCTTGGCAGCTATTCTTTTTTTTCCCCTTGTGGGAGGGGGAGTGATTGGGGGAGGGATGTCAGTCGTGGGGCTTGAACTCTGGGTTGGGCACTGTCCCTGAGCTCTTCAGCTCAAGGAGAGTGCTCTACCACTTGAGCCACAGCACCACTTCCTTGGCAGCTATTCATATATGACTGTCTTTGTAATTTTTCTGTATAGTATACATATAAACTTTATACAAACTCTTGTGTATGGGGGGAGGGGGTTGTTTGTTTTTTGGTGCTGGTCCTGGGGCTTGAACACCGGACCTGGACAAGTCTAGTGCTCTAATACTTGGAGCCACAGCATAATTTCTGGCTTTTTAGTAGTTAACTGAAAATAAAGAGTCTCATAGGTTTATTTGCCTGGGCTGACTTGGAATCAATCTTCCAACCTCAGCATCCTCAATAGCTAGGATTATAGGCATGAGACACCAGTGCCCCAGAAAACAATATATTATTAAACATTCTGGACCAGTAATGCAGATGAGCAGTAGAGAGTTTGCCTGGCAAGCACATGGCTTTGGATTTGATCTCCAGAACAACAAAAACAAATAAGAAGCTGAGCACTGGTGACTCACGCCTGTAATCCTAGTTACTCAGGAGGCTGACATCTGAGGAACATGGTTCAAAGCCATCTGGGACAGGAAAGTCGGTGAGACTCTTATCTCCAATAAACCACCTGAAAACCAGAAGCGGTGCTGTGGCTCAAGTGGTAGAGCTCTAACCTTGAGCTGAAGATCTAAGTGAGAAAGCACCCAGGCCCAGAGTTCAAGCCCCTCAACCAACCTAAAAAATAAAAACAAAACTGAAGGAAGAATTTATTACACACACACACACACACACACACACACACACACACACACACACTTTGGACCACATTATGGCAACAAAAAGAAAAGTGAAAGTTTGCAGTCACCTAAAATAAAATTGCCTTTCAGGCCACTCCATGCTTTGCATCTTGCTGTAAGTTGATAGTAATTTTTATAAAACCAGCTTATTACACCAAATCAAGACCTGACTGAAAGGAAATAAGGAGAGGTTGGGAAGACAAGAGGGAATTAACCAGAATTAACCATTCTACTCTTTGTAGCCTCTAAGAAAGATGGTCATCTTTGTTGTTCATCAAAGGAACTCAAACCAAAGAGAATGTGAAAAAAAACACATGCCACCATAGATCCCTAGCTCCACTATCTCAGTTCTAACTCTTATTGTAAGACTGATACCTGGCTCCTGTCCTCTTCTCTACACTAGTCAGCCTGTACCTCAAACCATCATTCCTCTCCCCATACCTCTGCTCTCTTATCCTTTCCAACTATCCGTTCAAGTTCAAACTGGTCACTGTACAGTATGTAAAAAGTGTATGTTATATATAATTTATACATGTATATTTAATATACATAGAATATGTAACACATAGGAATATATTATGTATGTAATATATACTATGTAAATAATTGTATATTATATAAAAAATGAACTATTTAACAAGGGTAAGGACAGAAGAGGAAAAAATGGGGGAAAACAAAGGAAAGGGTAACACTGACCAAGAAACACTGTACTCATAACCTGACTTATGGAATTGTAACTCCTTTGTACAACTATATAATCATAATCATAATAATGAGATGACACCGAAAAAAATAGGTATCAGTAAACCAAGTAAGAATCCCAATTCCCTGATGATGAAATAAAGAACAAACATTTACATGGAAAAGAAAATTTTGACTTTTGTTCATAAAAGACTGGAGACAAACTCTTCTTAAATAAGTGTGGTTAAGTTGGGTAAGCCTGAGAATATAAACACCGCACAAATAATGGCAAATAATGCTTTTGCACAGAAAGTCAATTTTTACGGAGATAGGCATAACTACTTGGAACTGCACAGAGAATAGTGTACTCTCATAGTTTGTTTCCTATGGGGGAAAAAGGATTTTAATGAAAACTTATAGACTGGTGTAGTGGCAAGGTCTGTTATCCCAGTACCCAGAAGGCAACAGTCAGGAGAATTATGAATAGTTCAAGGCCAGCCTGTACTACACAGCAAGACCTTTCTTGAAATTAAAGAGAAAAAAAACCTAAATACCTATATAGGCTTGGGAGTGCAGCCTCAGTAGCAGGGTAGTCTCCAGCATGCACAAGATACTAGGTTTAACCCCCAGCAAAAGCAAAAGCCATCAATAAAATGATAAATGGATATATATTTGCATCATTCTTCAAAGGATTTCTTTTTTCTTCATTTGCTGGTCCTAGAGCTTGAACTTGGGGCCTAAGCACTGTCCCTGAGCTTTTTTTCTCAGAACTGGTGCTCTACCACTTGAGCCACAGCTCTACTTCCAGCTTCTCCATGATTAATTAGAGATAAGACTCTCATGGACTTTCCTGCCCTGGCTGGCTTTAAACTGCAATCCTCAGATCTCAGCTTCTTGAGTAGCTCGGATAACAGGCACGAGCCACTTGTACCCAACTTTCTTCTGGTAAATGAACTCAGGGCCGGGGTGATGATGTACCTTTGTTTTTTGGCTCAAGGCTAGTGTTTAACCATTTGAACCACAAAAGCTTCTGGCTTTTTAAGAGTTAATTAGAGATAAGAGTCTCACAGACAGACTTTTTTGACCAAGCTGGCTTCAAGCCACAATACTCAGAACTCAGCCTCCTGAGTAGCTAGAATTACAGACTGAGCCATAGGGTACCCAGCTATATTTTGGCAAAATGTATAATTTTACTATCTGTCACTCAATAATCTCCAAAAACTACTAGGTAATTACTTAATGGATGTGCAATTTCTAAACTTCTGGATGAGATTACAGTCTCTGAAACTCATAAATCTTTATGTTCCAGTCCAAAACTAAGAATTAGCAAAAATTTATGGTCCATCAAACTTCCATTACAGAGAAAATTGGTAGTATATTTCAAGACTGTGGTAATTTAGCTAGCTAACTTCCTTAACTTAAAAAAAAAAGGAACATACTGAAACATAGAACTTTAACAATGAAATCTCCCGCTACAAAACTAGAGCAAGCTAATAAAAAAACTAATACAGAAACTAATTAATAAAAGCTGAATAATTTGATGGCAGACCTACTTTGTGTACCCTCTAATCACATTCTAACTCTTGTAACAAATAGCAGACCTGCTGCCACATTCTAGACTGTGCATAGTAACTAATGTAACATTAAGACATGACTAATAGGATGGTTTTGACACTACACTCAGGCGGCAAGGGAGAGTTCAGGAAATGACATAAATCTTCAGAGTAACTGAGCTTCTGAAAGTTGTGCATTCTGCAGGCTCAGGTGAGAGAAGAACCACAGAAGAACATCAAGCGGGTGCCCTCCTGTCAGTGCTCTAGCATGTAAATTCATTTCTTAAGAAAGGCTCTGTAACCCCCTTTTACTGCTTGGTTAAGAGGAGCTGGCTAACGACAGTCCTCCCATCCCCTCATTCTTAGTTACTGGAATAAGGTGCTGTCTGAAAGGAAAGTAGAAAAGGGTGACAAGAGACACAGTACCTGTTGTTGAGAATTGTAGTCAAAAAGTCCCACAGTTGCGGCTGCTGAGTCCACAGGTACCTGCGTGCCTGAATAATCAAACTGCAGAGGCTCCATGCCCACATGTTCCATGGGGTCCAAGGGGACACTCTGGGACTCCATGTTGGAGAAATCCTCCACGGGCTTGGCACCATTGGTGCTGGTCAGCTGGGCTAAGCCCTCAGAACCATTCTGGTTTGGACCCAGAAGATCCACTTCATTAGCAGAATTCTGGCAATTACCAGGGGTACGGCTAAACAGAGAAAGTAAAGGGCATTAAACCATATTTTGATTGGGGAGGGACACTTCAGCAACCCCAACTTTAAGGATAATGTCCTTAACATAGCTTTTTATCAATAGTACTTAAAGCAACTTCAACAAAATAACCAAAGTTCCTTTACACTGCTTACAGGTTTATAACCTCCAATATCATCTGTTACTTGCCTTCCAACATGCCCACTTCTTAAATTTGCATTACCCACTATAAATTCATATTTATGAAAAGAGTCTAGATTTGAAGAACAATGGACAATTGAAAAAACTGCTATCTATAGTATTCATAAAAAGAGACTGTCTACCAAAACGTATGTAATGAAATACACTTCCTCAGAAACATATTTAAATGCAGAGCTAATGAACCTGGTGCTGGTGGCTGGTGCCTTTAATCCTATCTATTCAGAAGGCTGATATCCGAGGATCAAAGTTTGAAACCAGCTGGGACAGGAAAGTCCGTCCATGAGACTCTTTATCTCCAAATAACTAGCAAAAAAGCCAAAGTGGAGCTGTGGCTCAAACAGTAAAACGCCACACTTGAATGAAAAGGCTAAGCAAGAGATCAAAGCCTGGATTTCAAACCCAGTACATGCAAGGGAGAAAAATGCCAATGGAAGAAGCTGGTTTCCATGTCTTGGAAACAAGACACACATCTGAGCCTGAGTTCAAATAGTAAGTTAAAAAATTACAGCTAGGCACCAGTGACTCATACCTGTAATCCTAGCTACTCAGGAGGCTGAGATCTGAGGATCACAGTTCAAAACCAGCCCAAGCAGGAAAGTCCATGAGACTCTTATCTCCAATAAACTACAAAAAAGGTAGAAATGGAACTGTGGCTCAAGTGGTAGAATGTCAGCTTTGAGCAATTAAGAAACTCGGGGACAGTGCCCAGGTCCTGTGTTCAAACCCTAAGACATGTGAGAGAAAGGGAGGGGGGGAGAGAGAGGAAGGGAGAGGGAGAGGGAGTACAAGCAAGACCTGGTTTAGATTGGTTTTGCTGGTTCTTAAGACTAGGTAGAAAGCCAGGCGCCAGTGGCTCACGCCTATAATCCTAGCTACTCAGGAGGCTGAGATTGGAGGATCACAGTTTAAAGCCAGCCCAGGCAGGAAAGTCCCTGAGACTCTGATCTCCAATAAACCACTAGAAAACCAGAAGTGGTGTTGTGGCTCAAGCGGTAGAGCACTCGCCTTGAGCTGAAGAGCACACAGACAGCGCCCAAACCCAGAGTTCAAACCCCACAACTGACCCCAAAAAAAAAAAAAGACTAGGTAGAAATAGCTGGGCACCAGTGGCTCACACCTGTAATCCTAGCTTCTCAAAAGGCTGAGATCTGAAGATCGAGGTTCAAAACCAGCCCAGGCAGGAAAGCCCGTAAGGTTATCTCCAATAAACTACTCAGAAAAGGCCAGAAGTGGCATTGTAACTCAAGTGGTAGAGCACTAGCCTTGAGCACAAAGAAGCTCAGGGAAGAGCCCAGGCCCTGAGTCCATGCCCCAGACTAGCCTCCCCCCCAAAAAAAGGATAGAAAGAAAAAAGAAAAAGTTCATTGATAAGGAGAAATTTTAATTCTCAAAATGACTCTAATAAAGTTTTAATGTATTACTAGCAATATTAAAACTTTCCCCTAAGAAACCAAAAGAAGAAAATCACTTCAAAAAATAAAAAATTAAGCCGGACACAGGTGGCTCACACCTGTAATCCTAGCTATTCAGGAGGCTGAGATCTGAGGATCACAGGTCAAAGCCAGCCCGGGCAAGAAAGTCCGGGAGACTCTTATCTCCAATAAACCACTAGAAAACTGGAAGTGGCGCTGTGGCTCGAGCAGCAGAGTGCTCACCTTGAGCTGAAGAGCTGAGGGATAGCACCCAAGCCCAGAGTTCAAGCCCCACTACCGAACAAATTAATTAATTAGGCCAGGCGCCAGTGGCTTACTCCTTTAATCCTAGCTACTCAGGAGGCTGAGATCTAAGGATCACGGTTCAAAGACAGCCTGGGCAGGAAAGTCCATGAGACTCTTATCTCCAATAAACCACTAGAAAACTGGCTCTGTGACTCAAGCCGTAGAGCACTGCCTTAAGCTGAAGAGTTGAGGGGCAAGGCAGCACCCAGGCCCAGAGTGCAAGCCCCACATCTGACCAAAATATAAATTAATTAACAATTAATCAAGGATACTCTCCTACTCATAAGACAATCCTAAAAATTAAAACTTATATAAAATTTACCGTCCAAACTAGGATACGCCAAAAGAACAAAGCTGAGCACTGCTGGTGACCTGGGACACAGGCATCAATATGGGTATGCCACCACCGTAGGCAAAAGCACCGTAAGATTACATCATCTGATAATTAACATTATAGTCAGGGAACACAGCCTATGGTTGCACTCAAGGAATATTCCTTTATATACCATCTGCCCCATCCAAATACATCAAAATATTGTCATAGGCTGACTGAGACCCAGAGAGGAGAGGCTACCTGAACTCACACATGAAATATCTCAGGTGTTTGTTACCATTTGCCTCAACTTTGAAAGACTGTAATTCTTTAGGTGATCAAGATACAAAAATTAAATTAGGATTATTAAACGATTGTCACTTGTTCTACAAAAGCTGATTTAAGAGAATGATTGTGGTAGATATTATTAAGGACAAGGCTGTGTGTACATAAGTGAAAATACATACCCATTAGCTTTAGACTGACATTAAAATTATTATAATTTTCTACATATGTACCACTGAACAAGGATTTTGATAATTTTTTCCATTGTCTGCCATATCATCTAAAGTTTACCTTTATAACTGAGGAATAGTTGCCAACAGTTGAGACAAATATATAATATTATGTTAAATTATAGGGTAGGATCTGCAAATCAATCATAACCAGAGATAGGATGAAAGCCATCTATGAAAGGGATTATGATTAAGAACAAGTCATTTGGTCGGTGTGGAGGAACACACCTGTAATCCCAGTATTCAGGAAGCTAAGGAGAGGACATGATAAATTCAGTGCCGGCCTGAGCTACACAGCAAGACTTTGTCTCAAAAACATAAAATAAATGAATCAAAAAATCATTTAAACTGCATCTCTAATTCTTCAAAATGAGGGAAATGATCCATGCCCTACAAACCTACCTGAAAGGAACTTAGGAAACTCAAATGAGATAATACACAAGTTTTCAGCACTTTTACCCCAACATGTCAGAGGGATATTACACTCTCACCACTAGTAACAGTGCTGCTCTAACATAGCAATGTAGAAGAAACATGGGGAAAGCTCTAAGGCACCTATACCAGGTGATTTCCATACTCAAGAATTACTGAAATAATCTTAACAGAACCATTCTTCAAATTCTGGAGATCTATACAAACATAAAGCCAATCTTTTTTGCAAAATACCAAGTATTAATAATTCTTTTAAAAATTTTACCCTTATCAATTTATCATTTTATGTCATGATCTATTCTAGAAATAATTCTTTTAAATAAAACAAAATCAGAATGAACAAAACCCACTGCCCACATTCCAAAACCAGAAGTGTAAAATATACAAACCTAAAATCTTTGACGTCTGCATCAATCCCATTCTGCACTGGTAAACCATTGGTCTTGTCCATCACATCACCCTCCTCCTTCAAATCTCCTAGCTTATCTCCATCAAACGTACCCTTGTTCTTCTTTTCACCTTTGTCGTTTTCATCACTGTCTGCATCCCTTGGGCCCTGTTTAAAAAATAGCTTCAGCTTCACTAATCATCAACTAATAGTGGGCAACCACTGTAGACACCAGACTACACTAGATGCTAATTAGAACAGGACAGTGTCCATGCCCTTTCAGACATTACAATCTAATTAACAAACAACACAGAGGAAGGAACACTACAGAAAGTCTTGCCAAATGAGGGAAGAGACAGACATACATTTAGAGTTTAGAACAGTCTTATCATGCCCACTGTTTCTAGTACCCTGTACTTTTCCCACAATATACCCATTTTCTCCCAAACCCCAGCCTAACTTTGTACTGCTCAGCCCAACTTCTCTATTCCAAATCTCTGTCTATATAAGAGCATGACTCCTAATAAGTCCCAGGTACGTGAGCTAATAGTACAGAGGGAAAGTGTTACAGTGATTAATTCTCTCTTACTTCAAACGTAGTCCAACATCATTCCTACTCAATTATTCCATTATACTTAATCTTGGAAAATATGCCCTGCCAATTTACACCATCTACTCCCCATATAAACCTTATAAACCTTACACATGGCACTAACAATTAAATGGCTTTTTAATGCTTCAAACAAATTAAATCTAGCTGTGAAATCCTATCAGGAAAAGGACTCAGAACTATTCACCATCCTCCACTACCTGACTATTTCAAGGCAAATTAAATTAGTCTTGAGAAATAATGGGGGGGGGGGGTATCCTGAAGCATGTGAACTCTGAGAACGCATCTGAAGAAACACTGGACATAGCAACACAGAGCTAGACACATTTATGTTCTGCCTTCTAGGGAAAGACAGACGTGTCTCTCTATTGGCATACAAGGTTTCAAGTACTGGATGCATAAAGCAAATGCAATGTAATTATCAAAAGGAAAAACTCCTATGTTGATACAATAGAGAGGTTTGTAGAACCTTACAGTGTAAGACTTAAATAAGTAACTTTAACTTTTATCAAACTACAGGGAGATAATCTTGCTGTGCCTCACCTCTGATTCCTGATTTAAGAAGACGTGTACAGGGTTTCAATTCAAGCTCCTAGTAAATGCCAAGACCAAACAACAGAAGATGAGAGCTTTTGCACAGCATTTCCAGTCACCAAACCCAAATTTTGGTAAGGGAACATCAATAATGAAGTAACAACAGTTGTGAACAGAGCACTCCTACAACACACTGACTGTAGGCAGGGGCAGGCCTACAGAGCTAAAACCAATGGATGCCTTCAGACTAGTTCTTAGAGATCACTGGCTCAGAAATAACTCTGACATTCTTATACCTTCTGGCAACTAGATCAAAGCCCATTTTACTATTAAGAGTCGGTCTCTGTTCAAATGCAATAAGAAAAAGAAACCTTGCACGGATAATATGGATAAAGGAACACACAACAAGGAATTAACTTAGAAAAAGATATACACCTGAGCTTCGGGTGGCATCAAGACGGCTAAGCACAGCATTGGCAGAAAATAAAATGTGCTCTACAGGGTAGAGCTTTAAAGATGAGGGTATTTGTTAGTGATTCAAAAGGACTGAATAAAAGTCAATTGAGTATTACACAGAAATCCCAAAACAGAGATAGCAGTATGACAGAATTCTAAAGGCAAAAGGACCTTTAAGATAACCAGAAACACCCTCTGCACATCACCTTTACAATAACAATGAAAAATGCATAAAAAATAACCAGAAACAATGCCTCCCTCCATAGTACAAAAATAGAGCTCATAAAATATATTCATTTTTACTTCTCTAGCACTGAATATAATGTGTGGCTTAGAAGCTCAATAAATAAGATTACAAAAAAGCTAAAATATTCTATAAAAGTTCTACAAAATTCTGTAAAATTTACCTGCCAAAAGAAGCATCTTCCTGTTGTCTTTATTAACATCAAACAAGAGTCTAGACAGTGGTAGCATGATCTAGATTAAAATAAACAACAACAACAAAAACAAAAAACAGCTGGGAATGTGCTTGCCTAGCATGCATGAAGCCCTGGGTTCCATTCCTCAGTAACACATACACAGAAAAGGCCAGAAGTAGTACCAGGGCTCAAGGGCAAAAGCAGCTCAGGGACAGTGCCCAGGCCCTGAGTTCAAGCCCCAGGACTAGCGGCCCCCAAAAAGCAAGCTCTATTTTAATGGAAAAAAAAAATCAAGTAAACAGCAAAAAATATTACAAGAAACAGTCCATTTCTACATATAAACAATCTTCTACACATCTAAAAATGAAATCACAAGTGCAAGAGAAGTAGTTCAGCTTCACTATCTGACAAATAGTTCAAAAGATCTGAGGCGTAAACTGCAAAGGAAACAGTGGGAAAATTCCACAAACAAGAATCCGGTAGCAAGGCATATTCACTGGTCAAAGCAGTGCTCTACATCAGATTTCCTCAGTGATCTTTTTTGTAAGGAAGGACTTACTGAAAACCTGCTCGGACCATCTATATGCTTGACTGATCAACACTGACTGGTATGGTATGAAAAATTGGCCACTAATCACTGCATTCTCAATTATATAGCCTTGGGTTACATTTTCAAAATATTCCCATGAATGGGCGGTATTAGTTACTCCTACAAAATATTGCTACCTTGCCAAGTTCTGGTAGCTCATGTCTGTAATCCTAACTACTCAGGAGGCCAAGATCTAAGGATTATGATTAGAAGCCAGACTGGACAAGAAAGTCCATGAGACTCTTCTCTCCAATTAACCACCATAAAGCCAGAAGTGAAGCTCTGGTTCAACTGGCAGAGCACCAACCTTGAACAAAGAACAAAGAAAGAATACATGACTCACAGTCCAAACCCTAGTACTAGCACACACACAAGCACACACATACAAAGTTCAGTAAATTAAAAATAGTCCTCAGTAAAAATGATTGGCCATCAAGTCTAATTTCTGAAACTTATTAAAAATACAAGTAGGAAAAAACTAATCAAAAGATATTAAAGATACTGGTAGATTTGGATTCATAGAAGTACTAAGAGCCTATAGTGTATAGGAAAGGTGTAAATGGGCAGATAAATTTTAAGGTTATTTTCATATTTTATGGTATGTAAAATACTCATAGCTAAGTGGTGTTTCAGAAAATACTGATACAAGGTTCACCAAACCTATGTTCTATCTCAGCTACCAACAATTATAGGTCATAAAACTTATAGGTCATTTAATCTCTGAGCTAACAACCTTAGCTAAAATAGTGGCTTCTCCTATGTAACACTTGTTTTTGACAGGGATAATTTTGTTTAGTAAAAAGTGATTAGGTACACCAATAAAATAATGCATGTGTGAAAGTTAAATATAAGTCATTTTAAACAAGTGTAACATAAATATAAGTAAAAAGAGGTGCATGGGATGGTATTTCTTATGTCATACTATGTAAGGTACAAATATTAAAAACTTTAAAAATCAAAAATTACTTAGTTTATAATGCACATGTATAGAGCCTTCCTAAGAAGTCATTTCAATGGTTAGAGCTGATCATTAAAATCTTTTTTAAGAATCTAGTTTAATTGGTCTGCAGAAGCTCCCACAACTGTTATTAAAAAGCTTTTTCTCAAATAGCTCTGATAAGAACCCACAATTGAGAACATAATTAAAGTCCAACATAAGCATCAAAAAAGGAAAAGTCCTATACAATTCGTAGGTGGGGACAGCAGGAAAAACTGTAAGAAAGCAAGTGATACAATGACACTGTCCAAAAAGAAATGTGCTCATTACCCAACTTATGTAACTGTAATCCTTCTGTATATCACCTTTAACAATGGCCCCGCCACCACACCCCCGTCTGCCATGGGTCCTGAACTCTGGGCCTGGGCTCCATCCCTGAGCTCTTCAGCTCAAGGCTAGAGCTCTAACTTGAGCCACGATGCCACTTCTGGCTTTTTTCTGCTTATGTGGTGCTGAAGAATTGAACCCAGGGCCTCATTCATGCAAGGCAAGCACTCCACCACTGAGCCACCTTCCTAGCCCCTAACAACAATTTTTTTAAAGCAAAGTGGTGTTTTAGTTTTTCTGTAAGTAAAATCTCCTAGTACACAACAGTATTAAAAAGCATAAAAGCAGCAGGGAATGGGGCTTAGTGTTAGAGTGCTTGCCTAGCATGCATGAAGCCCTGGGTTCAATTCCTCAGTACCAGATACACAGAAAAGGCTAGATGTGTCACTGTGGCTCAAGTGGTAGAGCAAAAGAAGCTCAGGGACAGTGCCCAGACTCTGAGTTCAAGCCCCAGGACTGGTCAAACAACCACAACAACAACAACAACAACAAAATTGCTCTAAAAAAAACATAAAGATGGGCACCAGTGGCTCACGCCTGTAATCCTAGCTACTCAGGAGGCTGAGATCTGAGGATGCCCATTCAAAGCCAGCCTGGGCAGGAAAGTCCATGAGACTCTTATCTCCAATAAACCACCAGAAAACCGGAAGTGGCACTGTAGCTCAAGTGGCAGAATGCTAGCCTTAAGCTGAAGAGCTGAAGGATAGCACCCAGGCCCAGAGTTAAGCCCCATGACTGGAAAAAGAGCATAGCAAGGGCTGGGAATGTGGCTTAGTGGTAGAGTGCTTCCTAGTATACATGAAGCTCTGGGTTCAATTGCTCAGTGTCACATAAACAGAAAAGACCAGAAATGGTGATGTGGCTCAACTGGTAGATTGCCAGCCTTGAGCAAAAGAAGCTCAGAGTCAGTACCCAGGCCCTTGAGTTCAAGTCCCAGGATTGGAGGGAAGAATAGCAGGTAAGTGAATGAAAAAGGAAATACGGAGTAACAGCATCTTTTTAGTAGAGGTTTCCTAAAGATGAATAATCCCAAATCATAAAACTGAAATATAAACAGCAGTGGTCACTTAATAGGCAAGGATCGCCAGGCACCAGTGGCTCACGCCTGTAATCCTAGCTACTCCAGGAGGCTGAGATCTGAGGATCACGGTTCAAAGCCAGCCCAAGCAGAAGAGTCCATGAGGCTCTTATCTCCAATAAACCACTAGAAAACTGGAAGTGGCGCTATGGCTCAAG